TATTTATCCCTTTGCACACCAGCTTACATACCTCATGGTTACAAAATGGCTGCCAGAGTTCCAGGCACCACTTCCAGAGGTCTTTCTCTTAAGAACCCCAAATGATCTCTCCTCACGTCTCATTGGTGAGCACTAAGTCACCCACTCACTCTTGTCTCAATCCCTGGCAAGAGGAATGAGATTATTATGATTATTTTAGTCAGTGGGGCTACACATTAGGTGGGAGAAACTTAAAAAAATCTATACCTAAATCTATTTCAGATCCCAATTAACCAAAATCTCTAGGGCTGGGGTCCTAGCATCTATATTTTTTGAAGGCTTGCCAGGTGATTTTGTTGAGCAGTAGGAGTCGAAAGACATTGGTTTACACCAGATGAGACATTCCCGAGGATACTGGGGATTGGTGATCCTCGGCTAGTTGCATGGGTGGGGAGTGAACCCTCCTCAAATGGAGGAAGAAGGGTGGGAATGGCTGAGGGGGTCTCCTTTCTGGGTGTCTGCTATAAGCACCTACTCTGCACCGGCTGCTTCACTAGACATAGCAAACGACCTAGTGGCAAAACAGTTTCTCTGTCCTCAGATCTCTTTTAGTGTCTTTGAAGATCTCTTTCATTTGGAGACCCCCCCCCCACTCTCCAACATCTCTAACCTAGACTGAACCACCTACCTGATAAATATACTCTATGTATAGTATAGCTCCAGAAAAGTTGAGTGGAATTGAGTTGACCAGTTGGCCTCTTTTGTAGATCGACATTTGTTCATTTCAGTGTTGCTGTTTCCTTTGCGGTATTTGGGAACCAACAACCTTGCTAAAAGCGTTGCTGATAAGGCTGAAAACTTTGGCTTAGGCCATTAGAAAGCCTGTGGGTCCCAAGTGTTTTGCCTATAGCTCCTAATGAATGAAATGACCCAGCCTGTTCTCATGCAGGGAGGGCAGGCATGAAACACACCATCTCACAAATAATTAATAACCTACAATTGCAAATAAGCACTCTTTAGCTTTGGGCCTGAAGAGAATTCTGAGAATATTCTCTTTTGCTTAAGGACCTTAGCCCCAGATGGTGCTTCTGCATAAAACATCATTTTCTCTGCCATTTCTTTTCTTGGCAAACTCCTCCTTATTCCTTAGGTCTCACTGTAGACATCGCCTCCCCTAAGGAGCCTTCCCTGATTGCCCTCAGACTGGGCTTCCTCTCCACCTCATGACACCCCCACTGTAGCAAGCATTGCCCTTTACAGTGACTGCTTCTCCCAGCAGACTGGAAGCTCTTGGAGGGCAGGTGGGGTCTTACTAACCTCTTGGTCTGCAGCACCCTCCAGGGCACACGTGGGGGCTTGGAAGTACCGATAGAGGTTTGAAAGTGTTGTGTATACTCAGTTATTCAAAACGTACATTTTTTTCCTCCTAACTTATTCTCCTATTTATTACATGATTGGGAGAGTGTGATTAGGTATTAATTAATTAATTAATTAATTAATTAAATGGAGGTACTGGGGATTGAACCCAGGACCTCGTGCATGCTAAGTAGGCACTTTACCACTAAGCTATACCCTCCCCCACCCCAATAAGTACTTATTTTTAAATTTATGCTTTTATTAAGATATACATTGAAATAAATACATCAAAATCACAGTTGTGATTTAGAAATCTTTATGTCAAATGTCACATTTCATGAGAAACAGTTCATTCACATTTTAAACATACATCTTTGATGTTGCTAGAGTTGTTTTTGAGTCATTTAACACATTTCTCCAGGGCATATAATTTTCTTTCTAAGTTGCTTGTGATGGAAATTTGAAAGATCTTTTTATTATGGAAAATTTCTAACATACACAAAAATTGAGATAACAGTACAATGAGTCCACATGTTCCAATACCTAACTTCAGTTACTGTCAATATTTTGCTAATCTTGTTTCATCTAGGTATCTTCCCCAACACTTTCTTTTTAGGCAGACATTCTAGAGGACAAATTTGTTTTCAAAAAAATTCCAGACGTAATTCCTTTTCACCCATAAATACTTCAGCACACGTTTCTAACTTCTAGGGATTTTTAGAAAACATACCTACCACGCAATAATTACACCTAACAAAAGTAACAATTTTTTCTTAAGTATCATCTCATAACGAGTACATATTTAAATTATGCTAATTATTTTACAATTTCATTTTTCACAGTTGGTTTGTGTTAATTAAGACCCAAACCAAGATGACACATTACATTTGATAGTTATATCTCTTCAGTCTTTAGTCAATAAATATGAACCCAACTGTGTGCCTGGTGCTTTGCCAGATGCCAAGGGCAAAAGACAAGTCCTTGACCTCATCTTGCTCACAAGATACAGGGGAGACAGATGTTAATTAGAAATTCATAGAAATAAATGTAAAATTGCAACTGTGATGAGAGCAAATACATCGTGTTATGAGTTCATGACAGGAACTGTTCCCTGGACACTCAGGGAGACTTGATTAGCTAAGTGAGGGGGAAGAGAGTTTCACGTGGACTTGCAGCATGTGCCAAGGTCCTGTGGCAGGAGGGAGCATGGAGAGTCAAGTCACAGAAGGCCAATGGTCCTGGAATGCAGCAAGTGAGGATGATGATAGTATCTGATCAGGCTTAAGACATCAGCCATGGGGGCGTGGGGAGGTGGGTAGAGCTCAGTAGTAGAGCACGTGCTTAGCATGCACAATGTCCTGGGTTCAATCCCCAGTGCCTCCATTTAAAAAAAATTTTTTTAAATAAGTAAACCTAATTATGTCCCTCCCCTCCTCAAGAAAAAGCAGAAACAAAATAAAGAGGGAGAAAAATAGACATTCACACAGTCTGATCATGTGTAGTCTTGGGGCCCACAGGGAGAACTTTGGACTTAATTTATCCCAAGACCATAAGCCCTGGGAGCCTTTTGGGGAAAGCAGGAGCAGGGGCAGCAATATGGTCAGATCTACATTTCAAAATGCTATTCTGATGAAGTAAATGAAGAGAAAGCAAGTGAGGGGTTAGGAAGCTGTTGTCTAGACAATAGTGGGGTGAGAGGTAGCAGCAGACTGAGGAATTGAGAGCACAGATTCTGGATCCAGATGCCTAGATTTTTTTATCCTGATTATATCGCTTGGGCTGTGTGATCTTGGGCAAGTCACTTAACCTCTCTGTGCTTCCACTGCATCATTTGTTAAACTACCGTATCTCAGAAGGTTGTTGTGAAGACTCAATGGAAAGAGCTTAAAAGGTGCTTGACTTTTTAAAAGGGACTCTAAGCACATAGTTCCTATTACTGTTAGGTGGACAGATTTGAGAAGGAGATGAGTACGTTGGAGGGATGGAAGGGAGGCCAGGATGGCTGGAGAAAAATGATCAGAGAGATCAACATGCAGGGCAGATACTTCTCAAAGAGATTTTGTTAAAATGCAGATTCTGATCCAGCAGGTCTGGGGTGGAACCTGAAATGCTCCCCAGACCACACATTGAGGAATGAGTCCCCATCACAGGGAGGACTTTATCCTGAAGGCAAGAGGAAGCCTCCGGCGATTTGTATGCTTCGGGTACTGAGTGGAAAAGATCACCCCAGCTGCCCTGCCGAAACAGATGGGAAGTGGGAGGATGGGGACCAGAGAAGGGCTTACTATGGTACAAGCTGAACTATGTTGACGCCCTGAAGCCAAAGACCGCCAGGAGCATAGCTGGCACAGCCGTGTGCTGGAGATACCTGCCCCAGCTCACAAGAGACGACTGTTGAATTTTGCAAGCGGGTGGTTAAGACCATGGGTAGCATCATCATTATCTGAGTAAGAGGCTGCTAGAGAGGACTTGTTACAGGAATTGGGCTCTGTTGGGCGACTTGAGGAATCTGGGAAGCAGGCTTTGCTATGGATCGGATGTTGGCAGGAAGCAGAAGTAAGTCCATGACAAGGGAGGAATGAATGACCCCAACACTGGCTGGGGAAGAAGCACCATCAGCTCTGAGCAAAGACGGGGTTATTTGGTCAGTTTTGTGGTTTGGGCAGTGTTCATGTTTTGTTGTGTTGAGACATGACTCCAGAGGGGTCTCAAAGTCACAGAGTGGCCTTGGCTGTTGTTGGTGTTCTGTGAAATTGTTTATGTCCAACAGGAGGGCACCAGGGCCTCGCTGGGAGTGCCAGGTCAGCTCCTGGCTGTCAGGGGCTGCTTTCCACTTTCTTCAGCTGCCATAACAAAGAGACCCCCAAACTCAATGGCATTAAGAAAATAGTTGATTTCCCTCTCGTTTAATGGAAGGCAGGTGGTCAGGATGGGTGGGTCATCTCAGCCCCATGAGATGACTCAGGGATCCATGTTGCTCCATCATCTCTAGCAAGGATGAAGCTGGCTTATTGCTGCATCCACATTTCAGTCCAAGGGAAGGGGCATCAAGTCTAAGACAAGAAATTTTCTTTTAAGCAAATGATTTCAAAGTTGCACCCCTCATTCCTGCTAATGCTCTTGGCTAGAACTTGGTCACATGCCCACACCTAGCTGCAAGGGAGGCAGGCAGCTGTTGTCTTCCGCCAGGTGGCAGAGTAACACTCTAGGATGGTAGAGGAAGGGGAAATGATTTATGTGGGACAACTAGTGGTTGGGCATAAGAAGGACCAGTCAGCTGATGGGGGGGTTGTATAGAACAGCCTGATCTGAGAGCTGTTAGCAATCAAGTTCCAATCAGGAGGCCAGTTCTGAGAGTGTGGGAAAAATCACAAACTGGATTCAAATGCTGCTTGGTGAAGAAGCCAGACTGGGTGATTGGAATAGAAGACAAAAAGGGAATAGAAAACAAACAGAGATAGAATAGAAAATGGAATAGAAATCAAAAAGCCCCTTCCTCCTGCCTTGCAGTCTCCCTCTAGCGCCCCCTTTAGGCAGAGCCTAACAGGACCCCAACTATCAGAGAGGAAATGGGGTTGGTAGGGTCCCAGCCCTGGTGTGGTAGACCTGGGTGGAGTAGGGTGGAGTTAGGAGCTGAGAGACAGCAGCTTAACAAGTGGCATGAGAACTATACTGGGGGTGGCATGGACAGCTATGGCGATGCTAATTAAGCAGAATCATGTGTGAGGAGTGTTCAGGGCAGCTGATGCTGGGTTTTCCATCCTCAGAAGCGCTCCTTGTGGACTTAGAGACCCAAGAGGAGACGCAGGCTCGGAATCTGGGCAGACCTGTCAAATCCTCGTGAGTGGTCCCTGGCCCCATGATTTCTGACCTCAGCAATTCTGTGTGTGATGGCAGTGACCCCTGACCTTGGAAGGTCCCTGTCCCCTGGCTATCTTCTCAGGAAGCAGTACCTACGCCAGGTCATTGCAGAATATGAGGCGCTGGACCGGGAGCTCCCATGCATCCGCAAGTTCCCCATGCTGCCTGCTGCCCAGCCCCTCTGTCTGTGCATGGAGACCTTGGTGAGTGGCCCTGGCCCCTGTCACCCCAGGCTCCTGGTAGGGTGGCGGAAAGGGCACAGGCTCAGAAGCAAGGTGGACAGAGTTTGAACCTAGGCTCAGTGGCTTACTCGCTGTAAATCTGGCACCAGGATAAGCTGCTGAAAATTGATTGTGAATTTGTGAAAGGGTCATTTGGCAAATTTACTGCAGCTGATCCCAGAGGGGAGACCAAGAGGTAGAGAGAGGGGACATTGAGGACCGAGGGACTCCTGCTAATCCATCTACTATGAAATTCTGTAAAATTTACAAATACTGCAAACACTACCCCCCACCCCGCTCCTCTTCTTTGTGGCTTTGAACATGAGACACCCTCCCCAACACACACACCCAAGGCTTGCCTTTCTAGAGGTGACCATTATCATGACTTCATTTTGGTTTCTCAGCAATTTTATATGCTATGACATATGGTATCCCCTTTGACATGGTAATCTCAGATGGAAAACGTGGTTAATGATCAATATGTTTCTGAACGTTAAATAGACAGACAAGATGTCAAACCCCCCTACAATCCTTATTTTTTGACAACTGAACATTCTTTCAAATGCTAATATGACCATAAAAGGAAGTTTTCGGCTTAGACCCTTGCGGAGATCTTCAGGAGCTGCCAAAAGCTCGCTATGCAACGCAGGTTGCTGGAAAAGTTTTCAGTAGATCGGCAAAGTTGGCCATATTGGTGGATCACTCAGCCGACTGTTCATTGACTTTTGGCAAATCGGCCTGATGAGAACTGATTTTTGGAGAATGACCTGCAATGACAGTAGAGATGCCTTGCTACCTGAAAGATTCCTATCCTCCCTGCTCCAGCAGGTTCTGCAGGTGGCGTCTAGGGTGAGGACTTCTGAACCCGGGCTGAAGCCGGGTGTCACAGGCTGAGGCTCTCTCTCCAAACCCTCCCAGCCGGAAGTGGACCTTACCCACCTGGAGGTGCTGGAGGCCCTGGAGGCCGAGTTACCCGGGGCCATGGAGAGCGGGCACGTGAGCAGTATCCGCTTTGAGAACATGAACGTCATCTGTGGGACGGCTGGGCGCCGGGACCGGTGAGCCCGTGGCGGGAGCAGGGCCTGGAACCACCGGGAGGGGCAGGACCTCAGAGAACGCGATGAGGGGGCTGGGCCGGGAGAGGTGGGGAGGGGGCGGATCGAGGCGTTGGCGCCGTGTGGGCGTGGCCGGGAGCTAATAGGAGGTGCCCGCCAACCGTCGCGCGGGGAGGGGCCGGGCGGGGAAGCTGGGGCAGTGACCCGGGCCTGGAGCGCCAGGAGAACTGCATGGTTGGTATTGGGGCCCCGAAAGGGCTAATAATGGGAAAGAAGAGGCGAAGCCGAGAGTGGGAGCAGGGAAGGGACAGGTGAGATCGGAAAAGAAGGCTGGATCTGGAGTGAGGAACCGGACTTTCAGTGATCGAGGTGGGGACCGGGACGGGCAAGACCGAGCTGTGGGATCGGAGCAGGGGGAAGCAGCCATGATAGGGCGGACCCGGGACTGAGCATCTTACAGGGGAGGGGACAGAGTGATCGGGTGGGCCTGGGGCCTGTAGTGTCTAGTTGGGGGCAAGGCGGGGGGAGGGGACTGCGATCGGGGGACAGGCCTGAGAGCCACACTGAAGGGGCAGGACCTCCTGGAGTTGCTGGGTGAGGGTCGGGCCCTGGAACGGCGGTTTAAAAAGATGGAGCCTCGACAGAATCAAGCTGAGAGAGAAGACGGGGCCTAGACTGACCCAGGTGAGGGTCGAAGTATGGGTTGACCTCGGCGAGAGTGCAGGGTTGGAGGGGAGTTTAGGGACGTAGTGACGGGTTGTGGGACTGGAATCGGTAAACGAACAATAAATGTGGGGCTGAGGCCACCAGCTATTCCCCTTCCGTCTCCGCCCCGCCCCTCTCCTCTTGGCCTCGCCCTCTCGCAGGTGGCTCATCACTGTCACAGATTTCCAGACTCGCTCGCGCCTGCTGCGCTCGGGGCTCTGCCTCCGCGGGCTTCCGCACCCTCTCGTGCGCCACGACGAACTGCTGCTGGGCGATTACCGCCTGCACCTGCGCCGCTCCGTGGTCCGACGGCGCATGCTCGAGGCTCTGGGGGCGGAGCCGACCGAGGAAGCCTGACGCTAGGGGGCGGGCCCTGGCTGCGCCTGCGCACCGCCCAATTGGCTCGAGGGACCCACCCGGAACCCGGCAGGAAAGGGGCGTTGCCTCCCCAGGAAGGAGGCGGGGTCGGCTCGAGGGGTGGATACTGTGAGTTTAATTATAAAGAATGACCTGGTACAAAAGCCATTTCTCTCTGCAAAATCTTGGTGGGGAGTCAGGGGGAGGGAGGTGATGGGGGGGTAGGGACGAACCCCCATAAGATAATCCCGCCTCCCTAATCTTCCCCCAGTTCCTGCCAATAGACGCCCGGGTCCCAATCCTTTGAGGGATGAACTCTTGAGGCCCGAGAGAGGGACGACCAGGGCGCCGGGGCTTTCAACGCGTGCGATCCCAGTCCCAACGAGAACCAGAAGTCCTTATCCGCCCCCCTCCTCTTCCTCCTCCCACCCCCCTTGGAAGACAATTCTCGGGCTTTTATTTCAGGTTTTTTTTTTTGGATTTTTTTGTGTGTGTGTTCTAGTTTTTTTTTTTTAATATTTTCTTTTGTTTTGTTCCTCTTTTTGCTTTGTCTCTCCTCTCCGCCCCGCGCTGCCCCCCATCCAGTCCCTTCCCCCTCCCCACCCCAACCTTACCTCCCCCCTCCCCACCCCCTACACCCTTCCCAACCCCGCGGCACCCATCCAGAATGAACAAGCCCTTGATAGACGGGCGCCGCGCAGGCCCCCTGCGGACGGGGGGCATCCGACAAGGGGGAGGGGGCGGGTAGGGGCCCAGCGCGACCTCCGCCCCACTCCTTGCCACCCCTCCCCCCTCCCACGACCCTCCCACAAGGTTCCCCGCAGATCCCTGACATGGTGAGGGGAGAGGGCTGCAAGCACCCTCCCCCATGGACGGAGCACCCCACCCCCCCGGGGGGGTAGGGGGCAGCAGAGGGGGAATGGGCTTAGGGGAAGGAGGGGGAGCTCCCTTCTTTGGCAGCTGAACATGGGGGGACCTGAGGGCGATGCCCTCCCCTCTTTGCCCACAGTAGGGGAGGGGGCTTTCCAGGAGAAGGGGTGGCTTAAAATTCCCAAGCCCCAGGAATAAAGGGAGGGGGCAGCGTGCAGGAGGGAACAGCCATGCTGGTGGGAGGAGTTTCTTGGAGAGAGACCGGAAGGTTAGGAGAAGGGGTGGGGGGGGCATGTCTTCGTGCAAAATGGATGGACAGATGACCCAGGAAGGCCTGGGAAGAGGAAGAGGACGGAGAAGGTGAGAGAGGGCAAAGACTGGCACAGGGGGAGGAGGAACTATGGAAGCAAGAGCTGTGTGCATAGGGTCTTCTCTCGCCAGAAAGAGAAAGAGTGTAAAAAGCTCAGAGAATAGGCTGAGTGCGAAGGACCGCAAGAGCTGGTCCTTCACAGGAACAAAAAAAAGGGCCAGGAAAAGAAATGATACAACCCAAGAGTATGCAATGAGACGAGTGTGCAAAGGAAAAAGGCGGTCGAGTTCCCCAAGAGAGGCAGGAAGAGTCACCCAAGAACCGACCAGAAGAAGTAGCATTTCAAGAATGAGTGTGAAAGCCGAGACACAGTGCGCAAGAACGTTGTTAAGGAAGAGAAAAAGGCTCTGAGAGATCTGCGGAAGTGCTGGAGGAGGAGGCGGGTGCAAGAGTGAGCGGTGCGATAAGATTCACGGAAGAGCTGACGATGGAGATGGACAAGGATTGGGGCCACAGGGGTACAAGGGAAGTGGCAGCCTGGCAAAGGGGAGAGGTGTGAGCACTGGAGACAGAAACGGTTCCCAGGAGGCACGTGGGCAAGAAGGGAGAGGGGGAGGGGGTCAGCGTGTCACCGTGAGACGGAGGGGTGGGTAGAGTAAGGCTGTGGGGGTTCAGGAATAGGCAGGGAAAGGACTTCAGGAGAACAGAGGCAAGAGCTTCGGGAGAGGCGCAGAGGGCAGCGAGTGTGCGAGGGTTGAGCCAAGGGGAGGATGTTCCAGAGACTAAATCTGTGTACGCAGAGTCTCTGAATGGGTGAGGGAAAGGGTGTCCCAAGTGTGTCTGCAGCAAGGGTCCAGAGATTTTCTGGAGTCAGAAGTGGAAGGGAGGGCGCCAAGGGGAGGGTCGGCCAGGAAGCTTCGGAAAGAGCAGGAATGAGGGGGGTGGGGCGTGGGAAAAGTAATGCAGCTGTGCGCGAGAGAAACGGAGCGTGAGTTTGACAGCAGAGAAGGCCTCGCAAGCCAGAGTGTGCAAGACAGCGAGAGGGCGAATTTGTGCAAAACTGTAGCCCAGGGAGGGGAGAGAGGTGAGGAGGCGTGCAAAGGAGCGTGCAGGAGGCTGGGGGGCTGCTGTGTGTGCTGGGGAGAAGGGGAGAGGAGGGGAGCCGAGGGACCTGGAGAGGGGGGAAAGGTTGTCAGAGGGGCGGCAGGTGGTGGAATCTGAGGGCACTCCCTTCCCCTGCGGCTTGGGGGACGACCCCCATCCAGTCAGGCTAAGGGCTGACCCTCTATGGCTCTGTCTGTTACCCCCTCCCCAGAATCAACCCTTCCCCCCTTGTCCATCCCCTTCTTCGATTTCTTCCATCCCCCCCCCCGCTCCCCACTTCCCACACACAGTCTTGTGTCAGCTGCCCCCTCCTGTGAGGTGCAAATGTCTGGCCGGGATCAGGCCACCTGGTGACCTCCAGGCTTGGGAGACAAGGGTCAGGGTGCAGTTTTAGCAGAGTCCCTGGCCTGGGGAGAGAATGATAGTCAGGGGTCAGAGGTCAAGAAGCCAGCAGGCTCAAGGGTTCCGTGGACGGGCTGGTCCGTCCAGGCCAGCCATCACCTCTCCAGGAAAAATTTGAGAGCCCGGTCGATGTTCATGCGGTGACCCACTCGGGTCACACCCAGATCGACGTAGTCCTCCTTGGTCAAGGCGGGCAGGTGAGAGCCATCAATTTCATGGTCCAGGAACCGGGCTCGGTGCTCAGACAAGCCCAGCCATTCAAGCCAATCAGCCACGTCGAACTTGGTCCAGAACCCCAGAGGTTTAGCGCCGAACGGCTTGTCCGGGGGCAAGGAAAGCAGGCGGGTTGGTGAGAGGGAGCGGGAGGCCCCTGACAAGGCTCCCCCAAGACCCCCGGACATCCCGGGGTGTGGTGGCACAAAGACAGGGGCGAAGGGGTCAGCCGAGCCTCCTGCCCCTCCTGTGGGGGAGCCACGGATGTCGAAGAGGCCCGGATAGAGGGGTCCGGAAGGCAGGATGGGCAGGGATGAGGGCCGGGGCGCAGGGCTGACCTTGTGCTCCGAGGCAGGCAGCAGTGAGGGGCTGGGGGCCCGGCGGAGCAAAGGCGGCCGCATCTCGAACTCCACGCCCTGGAGGTGGCGGGTGGACGTGGAGGAGGAGGAGGCCGATGGCGAGGTGGCCCCTGGGGCTGCAGCAGCTGAAGGGGGCACCCCGGTTCCTGTGGGGAGTGGCGGCAGAGGTGGTTTGGGCCAGTTCTGAAACAGGCTGCTGACGGGTTTGGAGAGGAGCGAGGACTGGGAGTCTTCGGAGAGTCTGGAATGTGACAAGGGGGCAGGGGTGGAGGTGACGGGTTTGAGGGTAAGGGCGGGGTGAGAAAGAGGCAGAGGTCAAGATGTAGGAAGAGAGACATGGGGCGGGGAGGATAGAGAGATGGGAAGAGATAGAAGGAGCGAGGGGGTAAGATGTATGTCAGGACAGAGATGAAGGGAGAGAAAAATGAGAGGACAGGGAGAGGGTGACAGTCAAGAGAGAGATGAAAGAAAAAGAGACATTAAGTGATAAGAATAATAATCGCCACCACTTACTGATGCTCATGTGTGCCAGGCATTTTTCTAAAGATCTTTACATAGTGCATCTCAATTGAATTCCCCGCGACAGCCCTGATGCAGGTTACTATTATTATCATCATCATCGTCATCATCAGCACAGAGAGGTTAAGTAACTTGCCTAAGGACACACAGCCAGGAAGTGGCAGAGCCCGGTTATATGGCACCAAAATCTGAGCTCTTAACCACTACCTTATACTGCCTTTCGGGTTATGGCCAGTCACAGCAGAGTGGAAGACAGGGAGACGGTGAGAGAGGAACAGAAAGAGGGTGAGCATTCCGGGGCAGAGATGGAAGGGGACAGGGGACAGAGAAAGAGAGAGAGAGATGAAGAGAGGGAGATGAAAGAGAGAAGAAACAAGGGGAGAAAAATGTTCCCCTCATCCCTTTAGCTCTCTCCAGAACAGTCCTGCCTCAGGGCCTTTGCACTGCCTCAGAGCCTTTGAACTGTTCCCTCTGCCTAGCTCACTCTTCCCCCACGTAGCCATACAATTTGCTCCCTCTCCTTCTGCTGTCTCTGCTCATCTCGCCTGTTATTTGAGAGACCTTCTCTAATTATCCCGTTACTGCATTTCCCCCCCTAGGATGATGACAATGATTTTGTGTATTGTCTTGCCTCCACTTCTGCCTCATTGGGCTATGAGCTCTAGGAGGGCAATGCTTTGCTTGTTTTGTCCATTGTGGGGTCCCTCTCACCCTAAAGGGCACCTAGTACATGACAGATGGCAAATCAATAACTGGTGGATCTGTCAACTAAATTAAGCATCCTTTCCTCTACCCAGAAGACTTAAGGATAATCAGTGAGTTGCCTTAAAATCTCAAAGACCTGATAAAACCCCATTAGACTATCACCATAAGGATATCAAACTCTCAGACAGAATTAGAGTGAGCTCTGCAGATGGACAAGAGGATTGAAAATACCTCTTCCCATTCTCACTATGGGTCTGAATCAAGAATGTGAGTCTATACTTTCCCTAAGACTAGAAGGTCCCGAATGAGCTTGAACTTTGTGGCAATCCCAACCAGCTAGCTGCTTCAGAAATTTTCTGCATCTTCCCCTATTTCTGCATCTATACTGGCTGGACTTTTGTAAGTAATCCCTCTCCTTCCCCATCTCATGGTACAACAATGGCCTCAAAGCCCCTATGGGTCCTGTGCTGTCCTGAGAGAGGTGAATTCCTTTGCTTAAGGTCACCCATTTAGAAACCAGGACCCAAAGAAGCGTGGCTCCAGAACCACTGTGCCTTAAAGCATCTTGTCTGGAGCCATACTGGGTTCAAGGGACTCAGATTTCAGGGATTGTCAGAACTGACACAACCCACCAAAGAAACGGACATCAGCAAGTTGTGCTCCAACCTCCTTTGTTAATAACGATTTTTGTGCATCATGGGATGTGGTTTGTCATGGTGATGGGAGGAGACCACAGAAGCTCCTGAGATAAACAGGATTTAAAGTATCTGTGCAAGCATGCTTCTTTGATGGCAAACTTCTCCAAGCCAGCTTGGTTTGTTTTCTTTCAACCACCTGGGACTCTAAAGGGACACAGCTATGGGGAAGGTGGACTCTGGTACCCACAGCATCAGCCCCTCCGGCCTCCACTGCCAACCGCCAGCCCCTCTGCTCACCTCTGCCGCTGCAGGGAGGAAGTCCTCTCGGGGACGTAGCTGGCTCCCCCGTGGTGGCTGTCCCCGCTTCCCCCGCTGCCTCCCCGGGCCCAGGGCAGAGCGCCACCAGCTGCCGAGGAGCCCCCAAACTGCTGAAGCTTGGAGCTGAGTTCACTGATGATGCTGGCTTTGACTGTGGCCAAGGCTGAGGCCTGAGGCTGGGCTAGGGGCCCGGGCAAGGGTGGTGGCGGTGGGCCCGGGCCCTCCTCCCAGGGCAGCAGCTTCCGAGGCAGGGAGGAGGCTGACGGTAGGGGCACCGGTGGGCCTTCTGGCTCTCCAGCCACTGGACCCCCGGACACACCTACTGTTGAGGGTCCTGAGCAACCACTCAGGGCCAGCAGCCCATCGGTTCCAGCCCCCGTCACTGAGACAGTGGGGCTGGTGGAAGTGACAGGGTCTCGGAGTCCCCCACTGGGGCCAGGCCGCAGGCCTCCACTGGCCCCTAGTGCCCGGCCCCGGAGCTTAGAGGGAGTCATGAGCTGCGGTGGGTATGGTGGCCCAGGGGTACCACTCCCTCCGAAGGCCTGACCATCCAGGTAGGCCACATACGTGTCCAGAAGCTCTGGCCCACTGGCTACACCGGCCCCACCACCAACACCACCGCCACCCCCTGCACTGCCACCGCCTTCGGCAGACAGGCTGCTCAGCGTGGATGCGCTGCTGATGGTCTCCAGAGGGTGGTCACTGCTACTTCGACTGTCCACCTCCTCAATACCAGAATCCGTGCCAGGCGGAGGGTCTGGGCCAGGCTGTGGGGGCAGGGGGGAGCCGGGGGCGGCTGGGGGCTGGTGGGCCAGGCGGAGGGGGGTCGCCGGGAGCCGCAGGGGCCCCCTGGGTCAGCGTTGCCACCTCGCTGTCATAGGAAGTCAGGCTGGATGCGGTGGAGTCCAGGGTGGGCGGGGCGGCGGCAACAGCAGGGGGCGGCACAGGGGGCAGT